TTCAACACACAAACAACTGTAATTGCTTTGTTTCTACGCAACTCTGTATTTAGCTGCCCCACAAAGCATAAATCCTTCATCAAATTCATCTTGGTAATCTAATTACTTTTTAAGCCTGGAGGCTTTGTTCACACACTGTAGTAGGACAGTGTGTGGGAAACAGAGTTAGAGCGGACTTGGCAGATAGCCTAGTTCAATCAAGTCAGATGTTGTTTTGAGTTACATGGAGTTTGAAGGATAATTCAGTTTCAACGAACTGAGGAAGGCAAAGGTAAAAATCCAAGACCCTGAAAATAGAAGGAGGCAGATACGGTCACGTAGGAGAAAACACTGAGATTTGCCTTGAAGTTGAATAGGCATATTCCTTCTCCAGCGTATTTTAAGCCCACTGTGGGTGTGATATGATACACCGTCTAAATAGTCACTCATTGGAAAGTAAAAAGAGGCACCATTGTTAATTACAGTGGGATCCAAGTAAAAGTCAGGCATGTGATGGGCAAATCTCTACTTAGGAGATGGACATGAAAGTGATGACCTTCAGGTGACAATTTGAAGAATGAGGTCATGGACTGGGGATGTGACTCAGTGGTAGAGTGCTTACCTACCAAACATGAGGCCTAAGTTCAATTCCAAGCACTGTATCCTCCTCCTCCTTATCATCATCATCATCATCACCATCTTTACCACCATCATCATCATCACCATTGTGATAAGGTCACAATGGATTTAGCGTAACCAGCTTTAAAAAGCAAGGCAAGGCAAAGTCAACATTTGAGAATCCTTACAATAGTTGCTCATAGCTCATACCTCATTAGCAAAGGCCACAGCAGCCAACATATGTGAGATTCATTACTTTAGTGTCATAGCTTATTTCATTTAAAAATGACGATGCTTCTTCATTATATTAGAGTCCCAGATAATAGGGTGGGATTAGTAGTTGTATCTTTCAATGTGACTGGGCCAAGCAAGGCTTAGATCGATCGCTGCTAACAGGTTATTTCTGGGAGTGTCTATGATAATACTTCTGGGAAGTATTAGTTTGTGTCAGCTGATGATAAGATGTCCCTCTCTACTGCAGTGGGCACTGACCATGCCACTGAGGACAAGACGCCACCGGCAGATAGAATGATAAGTCTGCTCTCTGCTTGAGCTAGGACATCCATCTTCTCATGCCCCTATACACCTCTGCTTCTAGACCTCAGATGCTAGACTCAGGCTAGAACAGGTACTAGCTTCCTGCTTCTTGGGCTTAAGGTCTAGGCTAGCATGCACTGCTTTACCTGAGGTTCCAGTGTGTAGACAGCAAGTCATGGGGATTCTTTCTTCCAAACTTGGGTGAACCATCCTTGAAAAGAAATGTCTTTAAATATATGTTTGTGTCTACACATTTCATATTGGTTACTCTGAGGAACCCTAATACACAGATATATGTTATCTGCTCTCCCTTATAAAACAATATATTTGAATAAACACCTTGGCTATAACATATGAAGATGGTGATAGCAGATGGGAGGGAGATCCCCCAAAATACTTCGTTTATTTAAAATAGGCACATGTTTACTTTTGCCAATGTGTTAACCATCAGTGAGCCAAAATTAAGGAACACCAAACCAATTAAAAAGCCAGCACTGTCTTCTGCTCTACTCCTGAATCCTTAAGATGAATGCATACTTCCCTTGCCGAGCTGGACAAGGGGTGGGTGGGCAAGCATGGGCAGTGAGCACTCCCAGCTACAGAAGGGATATTAGCCGAACTTAATTAGGTTTCCTGCCTTAGAGAAGTCAATGGCGAGGAGCGCGACCTTGGGTAGAACACTGTGCTTCACCAGGACTTAGTTTTACTTGCATAAAAGGCAGGGATTTAACAAGATTACTCAGAAGGTTCTCTAGGATGTGAAATTCAACTATTCTCTGGAATAATTATCTCCCATATGTTTTAAATTTGCTTAAGGTTCATTTTTACTTGAAGATGGAGAACGTATTTGTTATATCGCAAAGAAATGAGAGCAGCCAGTCATTAACGAACAGCTCTGTGGTAACAGTAAGAATGATTTTTAAGATTCCCAAGCACACAAACATTAGTGAGTAGGGAGGCATTTCATCTTTTTAGTGTAAACTATGCCTATTAGAAACTCTTAGGGGGCAAAGCATCAGACATAAAATGCCAAACCTTATTGAGCTTAATAATTCTTAAGCATCAAATTTGTGTAAGCTCCCCAAACACATGGAAGATGCCTTGCAGGGTTTATGCAGGAGAAAAGATTTTCTCCAGCAGGGTAAAGTTTCCTCTCACATTTTCATTTTTTCATAATGAGAGTGACTCCACATTTACAAGACAGTGTGCTGGAGAAGAACAAAGGAGACCTCGACAAGTTGGCAACCTCTGATTAGTTCTTTGACTAATTTGTAGATAAACCAGCCTCAGAGCAGTAAAAACGAATTGCCCATCATTGGGCAGTCCTTTGTGGTAGCCAGCTGCCAGGAAGCTGAACCCCTCCTCCATATTATTTTGATTCCTTTTCATCAGAGAAGTACTATATAAAAGTATATCACTATATAATGTGGAAACTGGTGACACTATTGACCCTTACCAGTATTATTCTTAAGGATTAGTTTCTGTCAGCAAAGGTCTACCTATCATTTATCTTCTTAACCTCTACCTATCTCTAGCCATGTGTACACACACTTAATGCACATATACACCCAGAAATGTGTTTTTAAAAAGAAACATTATCTTCTTCAGTTCCAAAATTATTTAACTCATGGTTTTTAAAGATAAGCAAAACCCCAAATAGTCTTCCCTTTTCAAAACCTCTCTCTACTATTTTAACCCATTGAACTTGTTTTTAGAAATTATTAGGTGGCCAAGACAAATCAGCAAAGGGCTGTCTTACCTGGATTCAACATGATTAGCAAAGAGAGTTCTGCAATAAGTATTTACTGATTTGAATGAATGGATGAATCACACTCATGTCACCAATACGGGAGAAGCCACCAGCCACCACATGTGAATTGGCCCCTCCCTCTGCTTTATATCCTTTTCTTTTTTTCAATCAGGTGTTCAAGAAGATTTATTTGAATGTCTTAACTATTGAGTTTTATGTACAGATATGTCTGTTTAATAGGTAAAGAGTGTATTTTTCCCATAGCCAAGTAGTAAAAAGTCTGACTTGAATGTATTTCCCTCCTTCTTTATATACTGGTCTTGTCTACCACATCCAGTTACTATTTTACTCAACAATAGTCTACTAGTATCCGGTCCTTTGTTCCATTTACAGTACAGAAGATTAATAGATGACAACTTGTTTTATTTCAGCTTAATTCTTGGACTCTGCAGATTCTGTATGTGAAGGGAGAATAAAAATTTCCACTCTGTGTAGACCAGTGACTTCAGTTTTAGTTCAGTCATCTTTCTGACTTTCCTCTTAGGTTTATAAAGGTCTGGCGTTTGCACTTCGCCTTCCTTGGCTAAGCTGTGTTTATTTCTGCAGTTGCATCACCCTGGCTTGGAGTCATGTGCTGTGAACTCGCATTCCTTTAGTTCCTGTCTAATGAACGGCACCGGGCGCCCGGTGTGTAATTCAGGTTTCGATCTTGTTTTCACCCGGTCTTAGATTTGTATCAGTCTGCCTTCTCTATACTGTTCTCATCTTTCTTTCTTTGCTTTGAACTGTTTCAGTTTTTGAGGGTGTGTTATTTTGCTGGAGGATGTTTGCAAACTGCCAAGCCAATTCATTCCACTCTGTGAAGTTAACATGGCGGTACCATTTACATAGTCTGTTTTCCCTGGGCTGGTGATGGTAAATACCTCTGACATCTTCTCACCTTAGAAGAACCCTGTTTATTTATTTATTTTTTCAGAACCAGGATGATTCTTATGGAGTTGACATATTTCTTTGGCTATATCCTGGGAAAAATCACTCAATTGTTCCAAGTATAGGGGGCATTCCACCCCGAATAGCCATTTCAAAGAGCAAAGTTAAAAACAAACTTTAGTAACCTGAGTGTTGCAGCCGCTTGCATACAAATGTATTCTGTAGTCCCCAGATCACTTATCAAAGAATCATTTATCAAACAAGGATAGCCAATAAAGTGATTCCAAAACATCACAGTTCAGAAACAGCCGCTCTGTTTTTGGCACCACATTGGACATCTTAACATCTGATAAAAAAAAAGATTTACTACAATAAAATAACTTCTGAAATTTTATAAGGCTTCTCACTTTGTTCTCGTTAGTGGTGCTCTACATGTAGCAAAGGACACCATTTACTTCTTCTGGCTAGTCAAGTTACTTTTTTTTTTTTTTAAATGCTGTCTGGGACTCTTTACTAAGTTAAAGTACATAGGAATGTTTGTGCCTAGAGACAAATGTCTTCTTCTGCAGAGATTCCAGTTACACTGTAGATTTTAGGGAATGCACAAAATGAGGCAAAAAAAATCACATGAACTAATTGATTTAAACACAAACACATGCAGATGTATCATGAGTGCTCTGGATTGGAAAACATCAGTAAGGATCTAGATAATAAGAGGCCTTTGAGGATTCTGAGAGGGGCTAGCGATTTATCTCAGGGATAGAGGGCTTGTCTGACCAGCACAAGACCTGGGTTCTGTCCCCAGCATCAGGAGTGAAAACTGCTTTTTCAAAGAGATAATTACCGGAGGAGCTCTTCCTGTGTCAAATCAAGGTGGCTGCTGTGAGCACTCACACAGATTTTTCCCCTGGAGAGCCATTGTTCAGAGAGAGAACAAAAGTAAGAAAATGACCTTGAATTCTCCTCTGCTCACTGATTTTTGAAGGTACTCTGAAGACTGGGAAAAGAGGGACCTTCTTATTTCTGTAAATAGCTCGGCCCTAACAAAACCTCAGATCTTGCTTCACAATCAATACTGGGCTCCATGGCTAAAAGAGCTGCATGAAACCAGTGTTTCATCTGCTTAATGATAGCAATAGAGGTTATCTCTAGGAAGAATGAAGAGGTCACTAATCACATTGCAGAGAAACCACCACTTCATTATTGCTTGAGAACAGCTGTCAGTTTGCCTTCCTCCTGCCAATACTCCGACTGCCAGAGAAAAGCTAAACTGCGGGTCCCCAACCCTGGACCACAGCACACAGAACAGTGGACTTCTTCAGAATCTTCTTGTAAAATGACCTGAAACTACAGTGAGAAGAAGGGAAACAATGAATTTGAAGAAATGAGCATTTGATCTAGAGACTTCTTCATGGGGAGAAAAGGAACCATTTGTGAGTGCTATTCTTAGCATTTGGTAAGATAGGAAATGCTGAATTCAGTCACTGCTGCTTACTTTGTGAATCTTTTTCATCACAATTCTTTAAATTTGCTAGTAGAAAATTCACATTAACAGATACAGTAGTGTGTGTGTGTGTGTGTGTGTGTGTGTATGAAAAATATAGAATGCTGCTTCTTTAATTTTATGTGAGATGTTATTGTAAATACCAAGCCTGTTTATTGCTGAGTTTGCATATCGTATAAGTGTTAGATATGGAAAAATGTCTTATGTCTGGCAAGGTTAAATTTGTAATGTTTTAGATAGTACTTTAATAAAACACACCACAGTGTTATGAACATTTAAAGGCCATTTTAAATGTTCAGTGGGGTAAGAGAGAAGTATTTAAAACATGCTAAACCTTCCAAATAAGGAAATAAACTAGTCAGCAAGACAAGCGAGTAGGCAATCTGGATGCTTTGTCTGCTCTTGAGAGCTCCAGCTCCTCTGTGCTTCTCCCACTGTGGCCCATTCGGGACCTTTCACTTAGGCCTGCTTCCCAGGCGCTGTCGCTCCTCCTGTGTCCCTGCAAGGTGTATCCTGCCAAAGGGGCTGAGGCCGCTCTAAGTGGCAGTCGAGTGGACCTAATGTCTTCTCTATAAGTTGCCAAACTAACAAGTGTTATCACCTGGGAAATACAAGGAACAGCTGTTTATGCAAGTGCCCCAGGCACCCTGGTTAATCATTCTTGAAAATAATATTAAATGGGATATCAGTCTTGTTCGCTGCATTCAGCTTTTCATGCGATAAAATGTGATGGTGTGTGCCTGGTCTCACAGCAGCATATAATGCTGTGTTTGGTTGATGTCCCTGGGCGGCCTCCTCTTTCAGGAGGGGAGATAAAGGGAGGGTGAATCTGTGGAAAGGAGGGGAAACTGGTCAGGATGTAATATATGAGAGAAGAAAAATAAATAAATCTGTAGATTGATGATACTATAGCATTATTTTGGTGTCAATAAAATAATCTGTTACATTCCTAAAAAATGAACAAAAGAAAGAAAGAAAGAAGGAAAGAAAGAGAGAAAGAAAGAAAGAGTTGGCTAATGTAGCAGAATGCCCATGGTTTATCTGAAGTGCCCTCTGTATTGCATGCTTATTCTGTTGGATAACAACACCAAATCATTCTACTTGGTAAGTAATAAGTTGTTATAAAAGGCAAGAATTTGAGTAAAGATGCATTTAAAATATTGACATAATGTCTGGAAGATGCAAAAACTGAGCATCAAGAATATTTTATTTTAAATATTAACAGAGAACTCAGTGGACTCAAAGAAGACTTAAGCTATCCTGCCATTAAATTTTAAATATGATTCAAAACAAACAAACAAAAGACAGAGATGCTCTGTATTGAACTTTTTCATATTGGGTCTCTTTTTTTTTTCCTTAAAATAAAGGCGCGCACACGTGTGTGTGTGTGTGTGTGGGGGGGGGGGGATGAACCTCTTGATTGTCACAGCTCCACAATGACAGGGTAACTCTCTTAATTGCAGGCACATATGCAGTCTTTGAATCCCTAAGAACCTGCTTCCTCATCTCAAAGGGCTGCTGTTTAGGAGCTCTGGCCAGGAAGGAGGGGAGCAGAGCCTGGTCTGTAAAGCCCAGGATTTTGAACAGGACAAATGCAGAAGAATCCCAGTTCGTTACCCATGGACTCCATGACTCTGGGCAAATTTGTTTTCATCTTTGGAAAAAACAGTGGTAGTAGCTATCTTACAGATCTGTCTTAAGGAATAAGTTGAAGAAAATATGCAAACTTCTTATCACAGTCACCTTGAAGAAGCAATACTTCTATGGATAGTACTATTCGGTATCAACAATAGCTAATTATGCTAATTAGGTTTGATTAAGGGTAGACTGGAAAAATTGGAAAGCTGGCAGCAGGTCATATATTTTTCTCTCTCATCTACTTCTTTTGAACACATTCTTTCTTTGTCATCCTCAAACAGGAAGTGCCACATGACATTCTGTGGACTTGTGGCAAACACTCAGAATCAAACACATGAAAATGACATACCAGACTATATTTTTTTTCACAAAAGCAGAATAAAATTTCTTAATGAAACCAAAGGTTTTATTGCATGATGGTTAAGTGTTTGGGTGTGGTTTGGAGCAATCATCTTTTCTTCAAGAATGTTCTCTTCTCATCACTTCATAACCCCTCAAACGGAAGACCAAACTCAGGCAGAATCTTGAAAGGTGTCTAGTAATGGGGTGGATTTATCATCCATTCTAGCTGTGCAGTTTTGCCATGGCCAGTGGCCAGCTGGCTCAAGACTTGAAAAGACAATATAATGGCTAAGAGACATAAACAGGAACTTGGGGGACAAAACAAAATAGCATATGTGGATCATAATCCGGGCGTTACTATGGACGGCCTGTCCCTTCTCTCTGCAAACACCTTCAAACCAGTCGCTGGTTTCATGACAGATATGCTCTCCCCAGGAAAAGAAGAGCCAAGTCCAGCAGGTTTCAACTCTGTAATGCTGAGTGAGGGAAAATGAGGTCACCTTTCACGCAGAGTTGTTATAATTAATGACCATCCACCGTATATTTTAAAATAACGATGAGTATCTTGTGTTTTGATACCACTGAGAAATGGTAAATGTTTTCATTGGTAGAGATGCCACCCAACCCGGTTTGACAGAGAAACAGTGACTACATGTATTGAAGTATCACACTGTACACTGTTACGTGTGATCAGAAATAATAGAAAAAGTGAGAAAGCCTCCATTTGGATTTCCATTCCTTTGCCATTGGTTTCCTTCCATTTATTCCTCTCACTTTCATTTTCCTTGATTCTCCAACTCACAGCTTAGGAAAACAACAGGAGACTTCATTAACATGAAAAGGTGCCAATGAAGACCCACATGCTGGGCTGGGTTCTTTTATGTGAACACAAGTGATTGAGGAGAAAGGAGATTGGGAGAGTGGAGTATTCCCAGCTATTTTAGATGTCAGTCCAAACAGGGGCTAAAGAGGACTCTTTTCAAGGCCCGGAAAACCTTCCTAGGATGTCTTCACTGTACGGAGGAGATTGGGGTATTTCTCTATCTTTGATACTACATGGGGAACGTGGCGAATCAAATGAGGACAACTCCAAGTCTCCACAGCCTTTGTGATCTGAAGCCTATGAAGGAAGGCTTCCTCGGCACCATGTAAGAATAAGGACTTATGTCTCCCAAAGAATCAGGCTGTGCTTATTCCTTTAGTCTTCCCATTGATGGTGCGGAGATCTCACTGTTAGTTTTCATGGCTTTTTGTGTTGCTTTAAATTACTGATCAGTTCTATAGAAAAAGCCTAACTTTCAACTGGAAATGAACAGACAGCCAAGATATAACTCGGAGAGCAACTGGAACACAATAAATACACTTCTGTCTAAACCAGAAGGCTAAATAAATAAATAAATGTATATGACACACAGTTGGGCTGTTCAGTTTGTGAGTTACTCGGGGCAAGTCAGAATCTCATTTGTAAGAATGGTTAAAGTGATGGGATTCTTCCCTTCCAAGCTCTGTCTTTGGCTCTGGGGCCTTCCATTCTCCCTGTATCTCATTAAGATGCAATCACCATCCAGACAGTATCCATGGTGATAGTTTAGCTGAATCCAAGCCCTGCTCCAGAAGTAAGGCTCTTAGAGTATTTGGTCCTATTCCTGTTTGGAAGCAGATTACTCAAACAACAGAAATAAAATAGCATCTCTGTCACCATATGAGATGCTTAATGTCACAGTTAAATAAAAAGCATATGCAAAAATACTGTTTCTTGAAATCTGGAATTGTGTTTCCATTGCAGTGGGACAGAATGGTATTTCATCTGACTGAAACGTTTACCAGCAAGGAGTATAAAATTAAATTTATAGTGCGATCAATTATAGAGTATTTCCTTAACTTTGTATCTAAACTCACAGATCTCAGGCTGCTCCGCACGTGGTGAACTTGAATGTCGTGTTAGCAGCATTGCAGAATGTTAAGAGAACGCAATCCCAAAGCAGTTAAATTTGACTCCATCTCAGTTCATCCAAGGTTTAAGTTTTGTTATTTATTCCTTGGATTAAAATCAGATGTCTTCCTCATCAATGTAACACTGTGACATTTCATTTAAGAATTCAATTCAATTAAACATGTCATCATGTAATTCAGTAAATCCAAGTTTTTCAGAAGAAATAAGGAAGTTTATTTTAGCTTGAGCAAATGAAGCCAAAAGTCCTACAGCAATCTGTAAACAGCCCCCCAGAGCTCCAAACTGACACTCAAACTTGCCCTTTTTACTTGTGTGTGTGTGTCTCTCTCAAGTCTGTGGATCTTGAAGTGGAAGTAGATTGTCTGTAGCCCCCTGAGTAGCCCATGGTTGTAATATGGCAGGATCTTGAAAATATCTCGAAAGTTTCCAACTAACAATTGGCTTTTTCCTTAATCATAACCTGTTTTATGTCTTTCTCCATTCCCACAGCCACGGCCCTCCTTCACGGATTCATTCCCTCCCACCTACACAATTTTAATTGCATCCTAACCTGTCTTTACCTGTCCGCTGCAGCTCTGCAGACAGAGGAATTGTCCCTCAGTGTGGTTCTGGTCGTGCAGCTCCATGCACCTGTCAGAGTCACCACAGAATGAATTGCAAATTCCTGCCTACTCTCTGAAGTCTTCCCTAGCCAGCTTGGCTCTTACCTCTGTAACAGCCACCTTTCTATTGCTATAACAAAGCGCCCGAGAGGACGAATTTAGGCAGAGGGAAAGACTTAATTGTTTTGGAGGATTTGTCCATGGCAGTTGGCTCTGCTGCTGCTGGCCAGGTCCATAGTGGAGGAAGTTCCTCACTTCATGTCAGCTAGAAAACAAAGGATAGGAAGGGGAGTGGGGTCCAGGGACCCATCCTTTACCACTCAGGCCTTTGAGAAATATTTATCCAAACCATAGCCATTTCTTTGACAATGTTACAGCTGGCAGTCACTCTTTTCAGGACAAGTGTTACCAGTTGATACTGTGTTTCTTTTTGCTGGAATGTGATTCCCAAATTTTCTTGTAAAAACCCTGTTTATCTTTGAGAGCCGGGTCAAATGCCATTTTTTCTCCATTTAATTTTCTCTGGCTCTTCTGGCAGAAAATGATCTTCCCCGCCACTCCTCCTGATAGTTAATTATACGTTTCCCTACCGTTCTTACTAACTTCTTAGAGCTACTTGTGATTTCTCCCTGTGTGACTCTGATGTAAGAACTCACGTGCTTTGGAAACTCTGAGACCGAAATGAACATTTTCTCAGCAACTTTGAGATCAGAGTAAAATTCCCACAGTGGGGTTTGTGTTTACCCTCCTCGAGTCTCCAATAGTTAAGTCAGAGAATTGTAATGCAATCTTTTCTGTTAGCTGTAAGTTAACTTGAATAGTTCCTATGGTCCTAGAGAATATACATAAAAAGACAGAAAAATATAACAAAAGGCTTTTCATGCTCAAATATCAGCAAAACTATAGCAATTCTTGTAACTGAGATGCTCTTCCTTAAGAGGGCCCTTGAGGGAGTTGCAATATTTTAAAAAAATTTCATTATATTATGATTATGAGTGTTTTGCATGCATGTAAATCTGTGTACTGCATGCATGTCTGCTGCCCACAGAGTCCAGAAAAGGATGTTAGATTCCCTGAAACTGGAGTTATAGATGGTTGTATATCACCACGTGGGTGCTGAGAATCAAACCTGGGTCCTCTGGAAGAGCAGCCAGTGCTGTGGAGCCATCTTTCCATCCCTGGGGTCCATCGTTTTTGACAGGCCTTCCTTAATGTCTTCTTTTCCTTAGACTCTGGTCCCAGACCCCTGTGATGCTCACAGTGTGGTACAAGACACAGGATACAGTTCTCCCCGTTCACTCCACTTTGTCTTCTCACCTTCCCCAAAGCGTTTCTCCCCAAGAAGTCCAGAAAGTAACTCCCCTCTCAGCCTGGTTACTTTCCTTCCTCCAGGAGGTCTCTGAAGTGAAGCAAAGAGAAGCTCTCTCACTCATATGCTGAAACTGTCATGCAAGAGCCTCACAGCCCTTGTCCAGACATCTTTAGGCAACCACAATCTCATCCTACAGACATCCAGCCCATCCGGGCTCCAGGGGCTTCAGCTCTTCATCTGCTGGTCCTCCGTGCCACTCCAGTTTAGTAGACACACCTTGGCATTGTGCCTCATCTCACCTCCGGCCGTCAGGCCTTCTTCTCCAGCATCCATTCAGAGGTAGTGTGGTTCTTGACAGAGAAGAGAGAAAGGGGGTCCCTTCTGAAGAATCTTGCTGTCTTCAGTAAGGTAGCTGTCTTTAGAAGGTTGAATTGATTCATCTCTTCAGGTTGACAGATTTCCTTCACAGAGCACTTAGTTTATTCATCGCATTTTATTTAAATTTTTTGTGACCTGCATATACTCATATACATGAGTAACTTGTACTGTGGGGTTTTTAATAGAAGCAGCATTGTGGGGGGGGAAAAGTGTTAGGTGTGTTAAAAAAAATGCTAGGTGTGTTTTCCCTAGTGCGTATAAATGCCAGCGAATACAGCAAGAGTCGATTCCATTGGCCCCTTGCTGCCCTCTAGTGGGCTGCTGGTATATCCCCTAGTTATCAGGGAAGAGGTGGTGGGGACTGCTAGGTAGAAGCTAAAATTTATTGGGATGAATTCCGAAGATAACTGTGCTACAGGGGTCAGCAAAAACAAAAGCAGGTTGAAAGGCCAGTTACCACAAGTTCTCCATCATATGTGGACTCTCACACAAAGGCAGATCACAAAGAAACAGAGGAGGAGAATGGTGGTCATTGGAGCCATTGGGAGAGGAAGGCTTCACAACGCTACCCCAATACAGTGAGACGGGGGTGCTCCCTACTTCTGCAGCAAAGTGGCCAATTGGAGGTTACAGAAGTTTGCCAAACATAATATTAAAAAAGATACAGGAGAGGAATGTAAAGATTCCTGACATAAAGAAACGATGTTCATAAGATGCAAATAAATGATTGCTATCTCCCAAAGATTGTTTCATGCCTCGTCCTTTGAGGGAAGTGACAGGAAACTGAAACACCATAGATGACATTCTAGTAAAG